TCCTGCAGCTGCTCATGATTCATGTAGTAGAAAACAAAGATAAAAGATCATTCCTCAGATTTATATCCAAATGCTTTACACCCTTATTTACAAAAGGGAACATTAAGGTAATCGAGAAAAGGGGGAGGGGGGAAGTCTCAAAAACTTGCATAATGGAAAAAAAAAACAAACTCACTGCATGTTGCCCGGTAAAGACATTCTGCAGAAATGAATGCATGGCCTCCCTCAGGAGAGCAAGTGCAAGAAAGAACATCAAGGATAGGAAGCTGACCAAGTATATTCAGTCTACAGTAAACTCTCAGAATCCTACCAGGGGAACTCAGAAAGTAAGTGAAATATGGATATGAATCAGATATGGTAATAATACTTCCAGTTTCTATTTTTATTTTCAATTTTAATTCCCTCATTCAGGTTTACCTTTAAAAGAAACAATTTATTTTTATTTCTTTTAATGTTTATGGCTTTACTCTTGGGAAAGAGAGAGAGAGAGGAGAGAGAGAGAACGCACAGCAGAAGAGGGACAGAGAGGGAGACACAGAATCTAAAGCAGGCTCCAGGCTCTGAACTGTCAGCTCAGAGCCCAACATGGGCAGGGCTCGAACTCACAGACTGCAAGATCATGCCCTGGGCTGAAGTTGGATGCTTAACTGACTGAGCCACCCAGGTAGCCCTAAAGAAAAATTCCAAAGAATTTAACATCTCTCATGCCACATAGAGCCTCCGTCTTCACACATTCCTATTTGAGGTGTATTAATTACAGTCTATAAAAATATAACCATGTATAATGAGAGGCACTGAATCCACAGATCCAAATTTATAAAATTTTGGTCTGTCTGCTTTGTTGGGTAAGCATCATTTAGCTGCAATAGCCAGTTTTTCTTTGGTTTTTAAGTTGCCAGCAAGGCAATTCTCTTCTGGGGGATAATAAATTCTGACTGTAACTATAGGAAGTCATAGTACTGGGATAAAGACCTATACAAAATTTTGTTTAGCCCTTTACAATGATCAGGAAAAGAATCTTTATAACTAGTTTATCATCATACAGATTATAAAACAGAAATCCTAAGAAGTTTAACCATTTGCCTAAAGTCATTTGTCTTACCAGTGGTAAAACAGAAATCAGAGTTTAAGTCTTCAAAAGCAAGATCCTAGGATCTTTCCATTATAGTTGAGGCACTCCCCAGACATGGATGGAGAAGGCACATGCAGTGGGGTTCAATGGACCACGCAATAAAATATCCTCCAATATATAGACTAGCTATTTGGGCAGGGATTTTTTTTTTTCTCCAATGTTATTTATGGTGATGGAAGAATTTCAACCACTTATCATTAAAGAAAAAATGTGACTCACAATTGCTATCTTCAAATCAGTAGTTAGACATAAAATTTAGCAATTTTAATTGGTTTGGCTCAGGCCTTCAGATTTCCATATGGTTTCTTTCCTTGTTTTATGTTAAATGTAATTGACTTAGCACTTTTAAAGTCTTGGCAGAATCTATCAATTAAAAGCTATCTAAATTAGAATTATTCAAAGCACACAATCCAAATTGAGCGATTTTAAAGACAAAATTTTAAAATGCTCTCTTCATAAATGTTATTTTCTATAAACTTGCATTATCACCCAGATGCAAACTTCATACAAACAAAAGAGGATTATTTTCTTTGGAATAACATAAGCTAACAAGAATTCTATTTGTTTCTTTTCAAAGAACTAACATGTGCCTAAATTGGCCTTTCTACACTGTTTGCAAGATGAATTTTTCCTATGTTACGATTTCTAAAACTGACAGCAGTCATAAAAACTCTCACAAACCATCTCAAAACTAAAATACAAGTACAACGTCGATAAACATGGCACCAGGCCCATTAAACTGACAGCACTCTTCTAATTGGTCTCACCAAATCTGCTGCACAATTGTTACTTAATATACCAGTATAGGGGCGCCTGGGTGGCTCAGTCAGTTGAGCATCCGACTTCAGCTCAGGTCATGATCTCACAGCTTGTGGGTTCAAGCCCCGCATTAGGCTCTGTGCTGACAGATCAGAGCCTGGAGCCCACTTCTGATTCTGTGTCTCCCTCTCTCTCTGCCACTAACCCACTCGCATTCTGTCTCTGTCTCTCTCAAAAATAAATAAACATTTAAAAAAAAATATACCAGTATAACAGAGCATTACATTGAAAAAAAATGATTACACATTGAAATAGATGTTCTTTCTAAGCCAGAGCCACAATTCTCTTCAGAAACTGTAAAAACCACACAAATACAATCAGAAATAGGAAAAATGCAAAGTGCATTCATTTCTATAGGCTGACTGAATTTGTTACAATTGTTCCTAAGGACTACTGCCCGTGTAATTATTTTCCAAATACTAAAGTCTTATCACACATGCTAAATGACAGAATAATTTATCAAACCCCAAGTGGTTGTTGATGGAATTTCCACACTTATTTGGTTTGAGTGAAAAGCCAGAATGCCTGGTGTCCCTGGGATTCTTGGAGAGCTTGTAATTCAAGTTAAAACTATTACAATTAATAAGTTATCATTTTAGGTATTGGGTAATGGAAACATATAGAACCATATGCCTTAAAACTCTGGTATCGATGCCATCTTTATAAATGATCATTTAAACTGTTAAGCATTAATAGATATTCCTCCCTGGCAAGAACATTAGATGCAGAACAAATGACCTTACATATTAATGTCTAATTTCCCTATACTATTCTCCATCCTCATGCAGTTGCACAGAAAACTTCTAACTTTTGGATTAGGAAATTTAACAACATGAAGGAGAATCTAATTCCCCTCCCCCATTTCCACGGATTATTTTATCGATTTCCTGCTATTTCCAAGTGTCTTCTTTTTTACTGGCAAGAATGTGGAATTGCTAGAAGTATCCTTAAAGGAAACCTTGAAGGTCATCAAATCCCTGGCAATGAATGCCTTCATTCAACAAAGGGCACTGCCCTCCTTTGCCTGCAAACCCTTTAACATCAGCAAGATCCCCAGAGGGCTTGCACTTTAACTTGGTTGGAGCAGGTCACATTTCTAAAATATTTAGCCCTCTCAAATGTCCCTGGTCGGCAGCACTGAGTCACTGACGCCACAGCGTTTCAGCCTAGATCGACCTCTTTCAGGTTTTCAATGGAATTATTCCATGTAATCCGATTTACACAGCCATTTAATCAAAGTGAGAAAGGAGATTACAGAGCTCACGTTTGTTTTGCAAAGCAAGGGTGCAAGGATCATCAATCCTACTGACTCTCAAAGTGACAGGATAGTACATCCTCCCCCTTTGGAGTGTTGGTCATTAACCTGATCTGTCTCCTGTGTTGTTTAAATAGGAAAGTTTAGGCTTTTTTTTTTCTTTCTGAACTAGAAGGTAACGGTTTCTCCACCAGATCCCACCACTACTATCCACCTGAAGAGATGCTACTATAACAAGGAATTGGTCCTCACCCCCCCGCCCCCCCCCCCCACCGCCCTTACATTCCACAAAGCAGAAGGTTTGTACAAGTCAAATAATTACATTATAACTTTTGTTGTCAGTCTTTAACATTTGCATTTCAACATCACAGTGTGCAGATCTCAGGTGTGGCGGCGTTCAATGCTCTGCCTATGAACCTGCTTTCGAGAGGAACCCGCGCTCCGCTTAGTCTTGGGCGGCTGCCCTGGAGACTGCACAAACCTCCTTTCTGCCAGGCAGCATCCCTTCCCCCCGCCCCCTGCCGACCTTTCCACACCTGTGCACTAAGCTCAATTCTTCCTACTTCCTTCTGAATGTGTACATTTCCCAGGCCTACATATCAATTTAAAGTAGGATACAAAGCAACTCATTCAGTAAAGCATTTTCTGCTCACGGATGCCTTCATTCTAAACTGAGGATGTGGACAAATTCTCAATTTCCTTTTTTCCCCACCACTTCCACCCCTTGGACACATTTCAGATAGTGCAGTCTCTGAGAGATCCTCTTGGGGGTGAAAGGGCAGTTTTACCCAACTCGCGGCAGTTACGCAGATAGATTCCTAAGGGGAGAAGTGAGAAGAGGTAAGAACCATAATGCAGAACGAACTGTGGGTGGGAGTACCTCGGCAGTCCTTTCCAAACGATAAGTCAAATATTTGCTTCAAGGGGAAAAAAAAAAAAAGTCTAATTGTACCCCTGGGCGGTGCTTTACCCACAGTGTTTATGTATAATGCACAATTGAGCAGCACTGGGAATTACCTCAATAACTATCATTAGAGGTGCCTATTAAAAACAAAACAAACGATCAAAAAAAAAAAAAAACCAACCAAACAAACAAACAAAACCCTTCTCCTCTGTAATGGAAGAAGGTGGGTGCAGTGTGGTGGTATTACCCCATCTGTGGCTCTCTGGAAACTCACCCAGAGCCGCAAACCTGGAAACGCCTCGCAGAGCGAAGTTTCCCGGGCTGGCCGGGCAGGGCAGGTTCTCCGCCCCGCCGAGCGCAGCTGCTAAGGAGCTCCCGTTGGCTTCGCTCCCGCGGCTGCACCCGAGTCCACACGAGCCCCACGCCCACTTGGGGGGCTGCACAAAAACCTGGGTTCGAGAGCGAGCGTGGTGCGCTGGGAGCTGTTTTGCAATCTCCCGGAATCCACGGGAAAACATCTCCCGTGCAAAGAAATGCCTTCTCGTGATAACTTAAAAAAAAAAAAAAAAAAAAAACCTCTCCGGCCAAAGAGCAGATCCTTCCATTTTACAGGAACTGCCGTTCCCGACTGACAGCTCCACACTTAACGGCTGCGGCTCCAAACTTGACACCAGCTCTCTCTCATCGTTCCCACTCCTCCTCTCTCTGGCTCACCCGCCACAGCCGCTCGGACGCGCACGCCACGCCCGCCTCCCTCGCACCCTCCTGGCTCGTGCGGCGGGCAGAGCCCCACTCGCCCCGGCAGCCGGTGCCGAGACAAGCCGGCCTCCCGCGAGCTCCGGGAGCGATTTCCTGGGAGACCCGGCGAGCTCCCGGCGCGCCCTACTCACTTGTGTCTTCTTCATAAGGAAAGGCAGCGCTGTGATCCAGTCCAGGCAGCGGTGTGGCGACTCCGTTTAGATGTTCTGGAGCTCCAGCATATTGCACGAGCAGCGGCTGCAGATAGTCCACGCATTGGGTAGCCCGAGCGCAGCGCCCTCTCCCCGGCCCGTGCTTTCCCGCAGCGATCCCAGTCCCGGCGCAAGGCGGCGAGTGAAGCCCCGGCCGGCGCGCCGCCAGCACTTTTATACAGGTCCCTCCCGCCGGCTCCGGACACGCCTCCTTCCCTTCCGGAGCCCCGGGGAAGCAAGACGGGGCAGGGGCGCGGCGGGGAGACCCGGGAGGGAGGCCGGAGCGCAGCGAATGCCCCCGAAGTTGAACAAATCAGGCCAGGCGCTTCCCCTGGCGTGGCAGCCGCGGGCGCACACCAAAGGGAAGCCGCGAGGGCCCTTCCCTCCGCGAGCTTAACAACCTGCAGCCGCCGCTCGCGCCGCGTGCCTGGCGCGGCGAGTCCCAGCTCGGCCTCTCAACTCCGCCGGGGCTCACCTGGCACCGCCCGGGGATAGACGCGCGCTGGAGAGAGCTGGGAGGCCCCCCTTTTACACAGGCGGTTCGAGAGGAGTTCGCTGGGTGCCTAGCAAAGAATTCACCCCCCTTCCCGCCCCGCCTTAGGGAAATTTAAAAAAAGCTTAATTGGGATCTGTAGCAGGCCATTGTCTTACCTTCTATTTGCTTTAACAATTTCTTCAGTGAATGAATGAATATTTATAATTAAAAAAAAATTTGTTGACTCAGGGTTAAGTATTGCTAAGGGAGATGCTATTTTCAGGATGGTTTGCTGTTGTTTCTTTAGAAATCAAAAAAATAAACAAAATAAATTAACATTAAAAGAGAAGGGATAGATTATTAAATGTGCGGGTCTCTAATAGCAAGTGTTTGAAAAGCTGTACTTTTTGAAAGCTGTTAGGGAAAGTTTTGAAGTAGGAAAAATAATGCAAAAACAGTGATAATAGCTAACACCATTATGTAATGCACTTAATTACATACCGGGTGCCATGCTAAGGACTTTTTGTAGATTATCTTGTTAAATCTTTTCTCAAACCTATTGTGTAGGTCCTGTCATTTTTATTCCCATTTTATAGGTGATGAAACAGAGGCTTAGGTCAATTTTCCCAAACCACATCTAGTAAATTGTACAGGTTAATTGGAATCCAGAGCCCTCTGGCTATATAGCCCTTAAAAAAAATACTTAGAACAAATATTTTATTGCCTCTCCAAAACCCTTCTATATTTGTTGTTATAACTGGAGACCATTAAAAAGCTTTTTATTAATTTTTTAAAAGAAAATGGTAACCAGACATAACACCAACAGTCTTTTGGAACAAGAATAATGTATAAATTTAGGAATTAGGTATTTTAATGAGAGGATTCCAAATTTGCATTAATTAGTTCAGTGTACTTTTGTTAAAAAATGATATGCCAAACTTATAACCATTAGGGATCAAGAAACTAGGTAAAAGTTGAAGCTCACAGGGTGCCTGGGTGGCTCAGTTGGTTAAGATCTGACTTTGGCTCAGGTCACGATTTCGTAGTTTGTGAGTTCAAGCCCTATGTCTGGCTCTGTGCTGACAGCCTGGAGCCTGCTTCAGATTCTGTCTCCCTTGCTCCCTGCCCCTCCCCCACTCACACTCTGTCTCTCTCTCTCTCAAAAATAAATAAACATTAAACAAAACTTTTAAAAAAGTTGAGGCTCACTGTGTTAGTTTTCTATGGATGCTGTAACAACCACAAGTTTAATGGCTTGAAGCAACACAAATTTATTATCTTACACGTTGAAGGTCAGAAGTCCAAGATGGATTTCACTGGGCTAAGTGTTGGCAATGCTGCATTCCTTACAGAAGCTCTAGGGGAAAATCCCTTGTCTTGCCTTTTTTGGCTTCTAGAAGTTGTCCACATCCTTTGGCTCATAGCCTCCTTCATCTTCATCGGTAAAGGTGAGTTGAGTTTTCACATCAAACCACTCTGACTTTCCCTTTGGACTCTCCTACTTCCAAAGACCTTGTGCTTACATTATGTCCACCAGAATACTCTAGGAAAATCTTCCTATTTTAAAGTTAGCTGATTAACAACATTAATACTCTTTGCAATGTTAATTCCCCTTTGCCATGTAACATAACATATGCACAAGTTCCAGGAATTAGGATTTGACATTTTTGGGGGGTCATTATTCTGACTACTGCATTCACTTAATGGCAAAGGACTCTGGGGACTTGGAAATGTGAACTTCGTATGTCATTATGCAGCCTTCAGCAAGTGCTTTGCTCCAGGAGGCTAGAGCTCCCACTGAGAAGACTACTTACCCCTCCATAATTATGAAAATAAATGTTTGAAAAAAAGGACACAAGAAAAGTTCACAGTTATTAAATGATCGTTTTTACTTTCAATCAGAATAGTGCTGCAAATCATTTTAAGCAGAAGTGGAAAGAAGCCTGAAAACAGAAGCAAGTATGACAGTACTAGACAATCATTTAATTGTTGACTCCTCCCCGGTAATCCCAATCTTAACACAACCAGCCCTTCGGGGTAATTTTGCTATGCCAAAAAATCTTCCAAACACTTGCATATATATTATGTCTAAAGGATCTACACTCCTGAAATGTATTATTATACTCTAATGGAAATGAGTATGAACAAGGTTGTTTCAGATTGTGCTGCAGGCTATATGACCTTGTCTCAAATCATAGGTATAACAGTGTAACATGCATAACTGTAAAGGTTCCCAGGATGGTACACAGATTAGTATTTTTATTTTATCAGAGGAGTATGAATCAAAATGTATACATTTTAAATGTGTATATATATAATACACATATATATCACATCAGATGACTCTAAGTAGTTTCTTAGTAAAAAATGTGAAGGGTCAATTTAAAGACAGTTTAATGTATAATATTACATAAATAATAACTAGTACTAAAGGAGGGTGTTCGTGACAAAAATCATGAAGTCGGTAGAATTACAAAAGCTCAGTAAACATCAATCTAACCATATTAATTTTATGAAATCAATAGGAAGGAAAGGCTAATAAATTAGACCAGGTTTAAGGAACCCAGGGGGTAAAACTCTCATAAATTCAGGTCAATTTTTTTTTTTATTATTCAACTAAGTCATTCATCTCAGTACTCAATATATTCATCTCCTATAGTGTACACTCTCACCCGCTCTCTCCCTCCCTCCTTCCCTTCTTTTCCCTCTCCATTCTGTCTCCTCCTCCCACCTGCACAGCTCAATCAATGGCCCTAGCTACATTAATATCATCACTGACTTTCTTATCCATAACTGTATTTTTTGTTTCCTTCATATTGCTGCATCACAGTTTTGCTGTAGAATCATATTATTTGAAACCAGGTCAAGAGAATAAAAAAGCATATCTCAAAGAGATTAGGAAGAGCTCATATAAAATTTGAAGATTCTCCATCAAGCTCATGAGGTAGTCCAAAGTGGGCCAGAAAGATGGAGGTCTTCCTTTAAGGTAGGCCTTTGGAGGAGACACAGGCCAGTATCCAGTCCCTTAGCAGAAGAAAACTAGGAGCTACTTAAAAGTGAACAAGAGGCAGAGCTATGCTCCAAGTGGAAAAGGAGACATGGGGAATATTTTCTTGTAGAAATAGTAGCTTCCCATTACAGGGTTCAGGGAGTTCAACTTTGGTACATTGGGAAGAAAGTCTCTCCATGATGATCTCATCTATGCTTGCATTCTTTCACTGCTACTTTGTCCATCATGCTGTTTCTGATTAATTGTTGGAAACAGTTTTTGGTTTTGAGCTTAACACTTGTTGTTAAGAAACAACTTTCATTTAGCAAGTAAGTCTTGTAAATCTTGTCTCATGCATGTAAAACATCTCTTGTTCACTCACCATTTTGTGACTGCCCTGTGTTAGACACACATGTTATTTTCAGTACCTTTCTTTACAAAAATGGCACCCCAAACTAAAATCTCTTTGACCAGGCTGGACCAGAGGGTTGCCATCCATTCCCATCTTTGGGGGAGGTGGAAATGGAGAAGGATTAGAATTGTTCTTTGATCATGCAACATCCTCTGCTGAAAACTCTTTGGTGACTTTCCATTGCTCTTGGGATAAAGCAGTACATACCTTAGCAAAGACTTCATGGCTTCCAGGGTTTGGCCCCTTGCTACCTCTCCAAAGTCCATTCATTTTGTGCTCCCCTGCTCCAGAGGCAAGGGCCTTCTCTCTGTTCCTCATAGTTCCTTACCCTTTCAGAGCCTCTGCATATCTCCTTCCTTTAGACTCCACTTGCATCGCTTTGCTCAACCCTTTCCTCTTTGCCTAAATAACTTTTCATTCTCATTAGATCTCAATTCAATATCCTCTATATTCTCTTCCTTAGGCAGGCTTTCCTTAACTTCTGATTTAGTAAGCTCTGCTTTTATTATAAACTCAAGTGTGAATTCCTTCTCTTCTGTAGCACTTACAAAGTAGCTGCAGTTTAACATTTGTCTGTATGATTATTTGATTAAAGTCACCGACTATGACTGTCCTCACTCATTTTTTTATCTTCGGTGTCAAGTATAGTGAGCAGAACATAGTGAATCTCTGTTCTAATTAAGTTTCTGATGCCAGGCTTGAGGCAGGGACTGTGCCAGGCTCTTAGCTTATACTATGTCACTAACTTCCTACAACAATCATGTAAGGGAGATAATTTTTCGATTTGATAAATAAGGAAACTGAGGACAACAAGATAAAGTAGTTTCTTAAAAGGTCCCTCAATCAGTAAGTAGAAAAAGCATTGAACTAATCCAGGCATGTGGACTATGGTAAGCATGTTTTATCTGCCCAGCACACCTTGCTATTCCTCTTCTGCTAGCAGCACCCTACTTTCTTTTGTAGAATTCACATGGATTCCATGTCTTTCAGGATGGATTGTAATTCACAAGTCTCTGTTTCCCTCATCTGCAACCCCACTGTAGGGGTGAGTTTATGACCCAGGCCTGTCCAATCCCCAGATTGGTAAAGTAGGGATACATCGCCTCAGGTGGACCAATCAAAATCCACTGTGAGACTTAGCTGCTAAAGTTAATTGGAAAGATCAACTCTTTCCTGTGGAGTTGCCAAGCTACAAAAATGTAAATCCTCCTTTATCCTTCTAGGTGTATGATTTTACCAGCCCTAAAAATGATGAAAAGCATCAGTTAATGGAGTATTCTTTGAGTAACCCTATTTTTTAGTATTCAGGGAATATCATCAAACCCATTTGTTTAGTTCATTGTTTTTCTCGGTTATAGAACAAAGATTAGCAAATATTGCCAAAGATACTAAATACTTAAATTATTGGTAGTTGGATTTTTTCCCTTTACACTGTGCCTAAAAATGAATCATAGGTCCAATTTAAAAATTAACAGTAAATAATTACATTCCTGAAAAGAGTTGAGC